TTGTGCCATCATTTTGAGCGTGGTAGATCTGTCCAGGCTGTGACAGGAGAGCTGTGACAATGCCAGATAAAAGCCAGCAGGTTCTGTATTGTTCTTACAGAGCTCTTGTGTTGATGGGACCAGCAAAAGTGATGAAATCTTCTTTATCCTTTTGGTGAGAGGCAGGGAAATGTTCACTTTGTGGTGACAGTGGTTGTTGTTTGAAAGACCTGGACCACAATACGTTTGTCTAATGATGATTGTATATGTATATTATAAATAAAAATATGTTACTGTGAGGGCGCTGAGAGAGAAGGTTGCCCAGAGAAGCTGCCCCTGGATCCCTGGAAGTATGCAAGGTCAGGCTGGACAGAGCTTGAAGCAACCTGGGACAGTGGAAGGTGTCCCTGCCCATGGCAGTAGGGTTGGAATGAGATGATCTTCAAGGTCCCTTTCAATCCAAACCATTCCATGATTCCATGATTATTTATTCTCACGTTCTCCCTCTGTTTTTTTTCCTGCTCCACAGATCCGCGTGGATGGCACCACCAAGAACACGCTGGAGTACGAGATCGTGCAGGTGGTGGACAGTGGCCCCATCCTCCGGGACATGGCCTTCTCCGTGGACCAYGAGCACCTCTACATCATGTCTGAGAAGCAGGTAAGGAACTCCAGCAATCCTGGAGTGCTGTAAAAATGTAAAACTGTAAAAATGATGCTGTGAAAACCTTTTAGCTCGATCATGCTGTGGACATTGGAGCTGCACAGGAAGTTCTGGTAGCGACCACAGCTCCTACAAGGAAGTGCTCGTTGTCAACTTTGGGATTTTTATTCTCATAAACCATGACATTTATACACTTTTGCAATATTGAGGRGTCAGGGGCACAGAATTAAGGCAGCAGGAATCACCCCCTGAGTTGCTAACAACCAGATTCCAGGGAATCTGGCTCCAGCATGGAATCCTGGATGATTYCAGTACAGATCTTGGCCTCGGGAAGTTTGCTGCTTGGGGTGGGAGGAGGAGGAGGAACAACAACTTTTTCACAACGTGAAAAATCCATTATATACAATTAGTCCTGTGGGTGTGCGGGATTACTTGAGCTATCGTGACTGGTTGATTCACAGATGCTCACAAGGAGCTTTAGATCCACAAAAAGTATGGGAGCAGTGAGGGATTGGGGTAGGATGATGACATTTTCACTACAGTGCTGCTATAGGGGAGGCCATCAGTCTGAGTGGGATGCGTTCACACTTACAGATGTTCAGTGGTTAATTAATTTTTTTTTTAAATTTATTTATCTATTTATTTATTTATTTAAATTTTACTGCTTTTATTTTATAAAATCTATGAGGGTCCTTTCTTCTGCTTGCACCACTTCATTTTAAACGTTTTGTGATATCTCCAACCATTTCCCTCTACTGTGGATATTTATACCTAAAATTTGGCATGGGGAAGGGAGCAACTCTGTGTATCCTGATTAAAGAAGCTGAGAGATGCCATAACTCACGAGAAAGGACATGGCAGAGCTGGGATTCCTTCTCCTCTGCTCCATGCTGGGCAAGGATGGGATGTCACTTCCAGTGCTGAAGTGGAAATGGTCCCAGACCTATATTGGGATGGGGTGGGAAGGTGGAAGCTGCTGGAGCTCCTGCAAGACTTTGGTCATGACACCATTCCTTTTCCTCATCCTTTTTTTATGGGTTCTTTCTATTTTTTTTCTGCACAGAATGGGGCTCTGTAAGGGTCAAAGCCCTGGAACAGAGCAATGCACCAATAACAAACCCACTGATTTCACATTTGCTCAGTGTCCTTTTGGTCCAGGCCCATTTGAGGTCACCTCAGACACCACTGCTGGCTTTGCCAGATTTACAGAAACACCCAGGACCCGTCTCAAACCTCTGTGGGAAAGGGCAGTGGGACAACAATGTTCATTCACTCACATCCTTAAAAAACGAAATCTGGAACAAGAGAAATGATTACTTTTTCCTCCAGAGACTTCCAAAAACTTAATTTTGCTGGTCCACTGACCACGTGCACTGCCCTGACCACCACAGCAAGAGCAGATTAATTTTGTACTTGGCTATTTCGAAGCTTAAGATGATGTTTTTAGGACTCCAATCCCTGCAGAGAACTCAGGAGCCCTGAGTGATTTATTCAATCATCTCCTCCCACCCATCTTTGACGCCCATGGGTGTCTCTGTGGGAGAGGCTGGTGAAAAAGGCAGGGGCTGTTGTTATTTAAAATCTGATGTGAGCCTGTGAAACACTCAGCACTACTCAGCCTTTGCCCAAATCCGATTTTATCTGACTGTGAATGACAGCGCTGCCATCGCAGCAGTGCAGTCACTACCTGCTCGTGATAGAACACATTTTGAGGGCTTGAATGAATTAACATTTKTAGAGCCTCGGTGAGTGGGTGCAGGGGTTTGCCTTTGATGGAGGCTGGATTATGAACAGGCTGCCTTAGGGGGCAAATATCCCATCCACTCTAGGAGCCACATACAGATCTTTTATAAAAAGGTGAAGGTCGGGCTTATCAGAGGCTCTCACTGCCCACAGCAGTGTTTGAAGGTCTCTGGAGATGGGGGACAGGAGGTGATGGCTTGACATGACCTTTTGAAGGACAGACAGGCACCAGGGCTTGTCCCATCCCTGGGGGAGGAGGAGGTTTCTCGTCCCTCTGCCTGCAGGGCTCAGCCCTGTCTGTGCCCCAGAGATAAGAGTGGTTCTGTTATTACCTGGGTAGTTATTAAAAGCTGTTTTCATAGAATTATAAAATCACTGAGATCATCAAGTCCAACCTTTGACCAAATAGGTTCAAGGTTAACCCTAACCCTAATAAAATACCCCTGTGCTCACTAAACCACATCATGTAATGTCACTTCCATTTGTTTTTTGAGCACTTCCAGGGATGGTGACTCCACCACCGCCCTGGGCAGGCTCTTCCAATGCTTAGCAGCTCTTTCACTGATGAAATTTTTTCCTAATATCCAACCTGGGCCTCCATGGTGCAGCTTAATGCCATTTCCTCTCGTCCTGGGGGGAAGAGCCTGACCCCCACCTCACCACATCCTCCTGCCAGGGAGCTGTGAAGAGTGAGGAGGTCCTCACTGATCCTCTTTTTCTCCTGGCTAAGCAGCTCCAGCTCCCTCAGCCACTCCTYACGGGACTTTTCCAGACCCTTTAGTTTTGCCAGACTTGGCTCCAGCCCTTCACAAGAATGGAAACCCCAGTGATAAAGTCGATTTCTCCAGCTTGTCCCAGTTTTATCACAAGGCACTTTTTAACTTGGAACACCTAAAAGAGCTGTCAATGTCAATTTGAACACAAGAAGCAGCTGCCAAAATAACCCCCTGGCCTTTTTAAGATCAAATCCTGAATGGGAGTGCTTTCTTCAGTGAACTTGGGGGTCTTTGGGTTGCAAAAGAGGGTTTTCTCTGGAGATGAACCCCTTGGGTTCCAAGGGAGATGGAAGCCAGCAAGCCTGGGTGTCTGTGGCTGAACCAAATCCTGCCTTGCAGCTTCTCTGGGCACTGAGAGGGGACAAACAGCCCTTGCCCACTCAATCACACATGCAATGCCCTGAGGAGAAGGATGCAACAGCTTTTCACCATTACAAGAGAAATATATTTTATAGGGAGAGTGATTGAATGAGGAAGAGGGGGAATTTGTCACTGAAACCAGAGACAGAGCATACAAAGGTCCCATCATTYCCCAGAGGTGTGGATGTGTCTGTTTTAGGTGTGAACGTGTTTCAGGTCCCTGCTGACAGCTCAGGGAAGGTTGGTGCACACATGGGATCTGTCAGGATTGATCAGGAGAGCACATCTTTGACTCCAGCCTTCACAAATGCTCTGAGGGAGCTGCAGTCACCATCCCAGATTGCTCCAAGCCCCTGCCAGCCTGACCTTGGACCTCACAGGAATGGGGCAGCCACAGCTTCCCTGAGCAGTGGCAGGCTCATCACCCTTACAGCCAAAAATTTCCTCCTCATATCCAATCTAAACCTCCTCATTTTGTCTGAAGCCATTCCTCCCCTGTCCGGTCACCAGATGCCATCTCCAGAAATCCTCTCCAGATTTCTTACAGCAGTGCAGAGACTGTGATTGTTTCTTTCTCCTTTCTCCTTTCTCCTTTCTCCTTTCTCCTTTCTCCTTTCTCCTTTCTCCTTTCTCCTTTCTCTTTTCTCCTTTCTCCTTTCTCCTTTCTTTCTCCTTTCTCCTTTCTCTGTTTCTGGTGTGCAGACAGAGGAACCCTGTGCCTCACACGCTGATCTCAGGGGATGAGGAGCAGATGGGAAATACTGGGGGAGCAGGAGGGTTCTTCCAGCAGAGGTTCATCATCTCACGAGCCTGTGCTTCCTTGGGTCTCTCTCCCTCACCTCATCATCTCTGAATTTCTTTCTCTTCCCAGCTGAGAAGCYCAAGCCTACAAACTCTCTGGAACTCTTTGCAGGGATTGAGATAATWCTTTCACCCCTTTTTCATTCTCSCTGCTYCTCTCTCTGACCCTTCATGGCMYTTTCCTCTCATTTCSAGGCTCTCACTCCCTTTTCCATYACTCCTGCACTCCTGGCATYCCTGTTCCTTTGCTCTCTCCTCTCCCATCTSTCTCCCCACTGCTGACTGACCATTTTTCTGTGTTTCCTTGCTGCTCAGGTGTTGATTTGCACCCAGAGCCCACCTCTGCACACCAGGAGGTGCAGGATGCTCATTCCCCTGTCCTTCCTTTGGACTCACATTTGGAAGTTCAGCTCCATCAYCCCCCAAATAACTCTGTTTCAGCGTGTTGGGCTCCTGGGTCTCCCCCAGTGTTTTACAAAGCTGATGCAACACATGGAAGCAACTCCAAGACACAGGAATGTCAGCTGTTCCCTTTGATATAGAGGGATCAAAGGGGAGAGCTGGAGAAAATAACCTTAAAGGCTCCAAATCCAGAAGGCAAAGGGCAGGAGGTATCAACTTTATATTGTTTAAATCTCAAGGTTTTGAGCTTCCTCTTACTTTGGGTTTACTAAAGGTTAGAGAAGACTGTTCTGCAACCACTTTTTGAGTGACCTTGTTACTTATGAGCAACTTAACCCATTCCTGGAAGTGTCCAACACCAGATTGGATGGGCTTGGAGCACTCTGGGATAGTGGAAGGTGTCCATGCCCGTGGCAGGGGGTGAAATGAGATGATCTTTAATGTCYCTTCCCAAACCATCCTGTGGCTCTGTGTTTGCCTCAAGGAAGGAGATTTTCCATCCCTCTCTGTGCAGGCAGGTATGTTCTGCCGGTCAGCTTCACGCTCTGGTGGCAAGCTGTGCTTTCCCCCTGTAAATTAGCAGAAAGTCACCCACAATCTGCAAATAAATCACATCTGTGCGGTGCTATCATTCCCTAAAACCATTACAGTGTGTCGGAGGTGAGACTGGTAGGGTCATGYGTAGCAGAAGCAGATGGGTATTTTGGAGGCTCTTTTAAACTTGGCCAGCGAAATATCAAATAAATATGTACTTCAACCAAAGCGTGGCAGAAAGCACATTTGGTAAAAATTAAGTAACAGTACTGCAAATCATGTTGACAGGGTCTTTTTGGCCTTTCTGTGTCTGTTTCTCATTAAAATGGGGAAGGCTTATACCTATTTGTCTCCTGAGATTTATTCTCCTCCCCTCCGCCG